AAAACACGCTCCGTCTTTTGTCACTATTTAATATTGAAGGTAATTGCTCTCGCCTCAGAAATCCGTGTTTAGAGGAGAGTCTGTGGAGATCCGAGTCCCCATAAAAGCCCGGGATTATATAATTCATATGTTGTGGAGGCGCCTCAGTGATAGTGTCTGTGTGAAGTGTGCTACAACAGAGTGGACTGAGTCAGAGTCCGTGAAAGCAAATAAATACACACATTTTACACAAACAACGGAGAATAAAAGGAGTTGTATCGACTAGTGTTGTCACGATACTGACATTTCAAACTTGATTTCAATACATTGCTGATTTTGACACCACAATGACTAAAAAATGTAGATATTTATACAATACACTTGGAAAAAACAATATCTAGATGAGTTAAAATGACTTAGATTAAGAAGATTTGACTTTATTTGAGTAGATTCAACAAGATTCAACAAACAAAGCAAAACTATTTACCAATGAATTCAAGCAAAATTCGATTTTTTTTTCTTATTTTAACTGCAAAAAGTTGTGGTTTTTCATATTTTAAGTACAAAAAGTCTTATGTCACTGGCAGATAATTTTACTTGTCAAGTGAAATTTACTCAAATCATGATAAAACTTTCTTAATTTAAGTCATCTTAATTTGGCTAGATTAATTTTTTTTGCAGTGTAGAATGTTATTTTCAACATTTAAGGTGCTTTGTGTAACTTTTTGTTTGTGGGTTCATTACCTGCGTGTTTCTATGCATAATGTGTCATTGCTCTGCCTGGAATGTTCCACAGTATGACATTAAACAGCTCTACCTTACATTTATTCAATTATAGGTGGTTTTATTGCTCAAAAATGTCTAGAAAAACAGGTATTCTGACTGTGAGTGGGGTTGCCTTTCCACAGATCTGACCTATAACTTGGTCTGGTTTGGTCTCCATGAACATAGAAAGGTTTAATGCTGTATTGTGAAACATTTCAGGCAGAATCCAGTGCCAGGTTGTGTCCAAGGAGATATTCTAGGGCAGAAAATTTGGGCCACAATACAATTATATTTGGCCTGCAAACTCATATCAAAAATGTATTAAAGCTGCCCGCCGGCTTCCACGCCAGTATGGCTCATGTGCCGCTAATACTACTACTTATACTACTACTTATACTACTACTAATACTACTCCTTTGATGAACTTGTATCTAAGAAGAGATGCTAAGAATTTGTATCTGCTTTGTGTATCAGAGTAAATCACAGTCTAGCAAACTGAGCTGGGATGAATGTTTTCTTTAAGATTTTTGACTGTTCATAGTTGAAAGATTGGATTTTCATTGCAGCAAGTTGTTATTTTTGACTGGTTGTTGCCTTTGTGAAAAGAAAAAATAGAGACATTATTTATTTAAAATGTTATTATTTTATATTATGCTTGTTCTGGATTCAATGTTTAAGCAAAACTATTATTAAACATTTATTTTAATAAGAAAATATTTCTCAAAAGGAGAGAAAACATGCAGATGATGTTGAAATTTTTCAATAAATATTTAGTTTGGGTCCGATGAGGTTCATTTGGTCTTCCGATAATTTATGTTATTAGGTTCTTTTTTCAGACCAAGAGTTTGTTTTCATACCTGACAGTTTCGACTGCTCACTAGCGGTCTTCCTCAGAGTCACGTGATGTTGCTGTGAAGTGCCCGGTCAGCTGATTTATACAGGTTTTGGCGCTGTCTTCCTACCAGTGGAGGCAGGACGGCAGCGCCATCTGCTGTCCGACTTCCTCAGGACAGTATCCCAGGTGTGCGAGAGTAAAAAAAGCCCCCTCGTCCCGGTTTATAGTCCCGTGGGCACGTTTCCGTATTTCGATTGCCTCTTTAATCCTGCAGATGGCCAAAACCTGTATAAATCAGCTGGTACGTGTCACAGCAACATCACGTGACTCTGAAGCTAGTGGGCAGTCGAAACTGTCAGGTATGAAAACAAACTCTTGGTCTGAAAAAAGAACCTAATAACATAAATATTTAGTTTGGCCCATGACTTAGTGCCAGTTTTTCATTTTGGCCCTCTGTGAATTTGAGTTTGACACCTCTGATCTAGGGAGATTGCTTTCGCTGGAGCTATAAAACCCTGTGTAATTTAATAAATGTAAGGTCGAGCTGTTTAATGTCACACTGTGGAACATTTCAGGCAGAGCAGCTTCACATATCCATAGAAAGAAGCAGGTGACGGACCCTCAACTAAAACGTTATAGAGTGCAGCTTTTAACCAACTGAAAAGATTATTATGACTTTCTTTTGTTTTTTTTTGTTAATTACCATGGCAACAGAGCGAATTTTTCATTACTCTCGAAACCCTCGGACACTGCGGCCTTGTGTTTTATCCAAAGCTTTGGGTCAAAAATCCCCCGTACCTCTCCGAGAGCAGAGTAAGCGCTGTTGTATTTGTTTTAAAAGCTCGAAAATCTCCTTGAACAGTGTGACGGAGCGCGGCAGGTTTTGTGTTGTAAATCTTGAGCTTTGGAGAAGGTTCCCGTGGAGCAGAGAGAGGATCCCGTTAGATCTGAGAGTCAAATCTATAGGATAAGGAGCCGGGTCGGACAGGAGGCGAGAGTGTGCAGTGAGCCGGAGAAGCGCGGGCTGGAGCAGATTCAACGCTTTTACAAGAGGAGGTAAAACGGACTGTCTTTTATCGCGCGCGCCGCTTTCAACCTTGCGAGCGTCTCCTGGATAAAAGGAAGGACTCGTAAAATGGGATTACAATCATCTGGAAGTTCGAAGGAATCCAGGACTATACTAAATATTATTCATGCTGATGGAGCTTTGTACAGGGTGACTTTGTGGTTTATAACGTGCACTTGAACCTTATAGGGATGTTTTACTTTCATTATGCAGCGACCAATTTGTAAGGGACGTAAGGTTAAGGTGGTTTGAGTTTTATTTAAATTATTACTTTGTTCTTGGGATAGTACCTGTAGTAGATATTTATTGCAGTTTTACACCAGTCAAGTATCAGTTTGTGAAGCAAAGTTGAAATAAAAGTTGAAAATTACAGGAAGTGGAGCCAAGAACCTGGGCCTAAACATCGCTGGAAATTGAACTGAATGGGCCCGAGCTCAGTAGCACATGTCTCTAGATCTTTAGTTGTGAATCTCCTGTTCATGACCATTTGCCTGTATCACATGATCTTGTCGACCAATAAGAGCGAGAGGAGCTAGAGTTGGATAACCAGATTTTCACAATCATAAACTGGGACGCCTCTGGTTTGTGGTGTTTGGTAATAATAAAATGGTGAAATGAGTGCGTAATTAAGGAAAAAAAAACTAAACAAAACAAAACAAAAACGTATGCACTCGGCCATAGGTGGAGCTACCATTAGGCAACAGTAAGTGACCAGCTGGGGCCCCCGAACCTGGAAGGGCCCCCAACCAGTTGCCCTCAGTGCCACTAATGGCCAAAGCCTTAGAGTAATTAGATTTTTTTCTCAATATGACTTTAAATGAGAGTAGTTTGTCAGTGCATTATAGTGAGGGCCCCAAACTCAAGTTCACCTAGGGCCCCTAATTTGCTAACTCCACCACTGCACTCGGCCCATTCACAACTAACATATCAGAATCAAATTTATTTGTCATTCCAGTATAAAAAAATACACAGAAACGAAACAATGCACTCAGGTCCAGGTCAACAGCAGCACAGATAACAATAAGAACAAATAGTTATAATAAGAATAAAATAGTTAAAAATATTGTATATCAACCCGCCCCCATTTTCTAAAGTGCGTTCCAAGTCAGTGCTGTTTTGTAGTGTTTTTTCTGACAGAATTAATCTGTCTCACGGCATCATGAGATACTTGTTTATGTTTTGGTGATTTTTAAGCAGGTTGTCTGTATTTTACCTAAAACAAATGAAAATATATGCCTTTTTTTTTTTTTTTTTACTGTTGGCAGAGATCAGATTGGTTAAAAAAAGGGACACCTGGGACATTTCTTGTATTAAACTGGGACAAGTCATCAGTGGTTTTGTATAAATCTGCAGGGACACAAGGCTCAAAACTGAGGCTCTCCCAATAGGGACACTGGTCACCCTAAGCTAGAGCAGAGCAGAGTGGAGCCAAAGTTAACGATTAAAAAGCACTTTTTAAGACAACTGAAGAATTGATTTGAAAATAGTTAAACCTGGCCACAAAATCCAACTTTTTATTTTTTATTTTTTCAAAGCTGTACTCGCCCTGTCAGCTGAACACAAGCCTTTTGTGATTACATTGAGAAAAAAAACAACAGCGATACTCTATCCAGTTAGTTGAATAGATCCAGAGTAGAGTTGAATTCTAAAAAAAACAAATCCAATTCTATCCATGCCATGAATACACATGATACAATTCGAGATCCAGGGAAAATGTACACATAAGGGACTTAAAAAAAAAAAAAAAAAAAAAAAAAACATTGACAGGATTTGGCCCTTGTTTACAGTAAGATAACAATTATGTAATGGTCATGTGGTCAAGATAAACAGCACTCTACAATTAATTCAATCTCTGGTACATCCATTTGAATCTATTTTCTTGTTAGTATTTTTCTTTAAAAGTATTTGTCTGCTACAGTAGTGACATTTGGACTCTCCTGGCCTAAGTTTTGGAAATGAAAATGGAATCTCAGTGTCAAAAATATTGTGTAAACATTGATGGATCTTTTGCCAGAAAAAGTATGATTTTTGAGCATGCCTAGAATAGATGATAATGACTGGTTTCCGAGCTACCACACACTCTCCAGCTGCTACTTTTTGGAGGCTTTTTTGAGTACTGGGCTAATACAAAATCTGATAAAAAGGTTTCCATCCGAATTCCCTCCTTCAGGTTGTTGAACATGTTGTTTTCCGTTGCATTTTACGTAACAGCTCCCTATCCTTCCCATCCACCACTGAGCCCATTTCTTTCTTATTTTCAAACTTTAAAAACCTAACCATGTCTTAAAACTCCAAAGATATTTTCCCGAAACTACAGCGTGCATCCCTTTTCACCATCCTCTGTCTTTCTTTCAGGTATTTCATGGAGGAGAGCGAGGAGGAGCAGTTGTTCAGCATAAACGAGAGCAGCGGGGTTATCAGGACCACGCGCCCTCTGGACCGCGAGGACAGGCCCTGGCTCAACGTCACCGTGATGGCGGCGGAGGTTGGTAAGTAAAAGACCACCCCCCCCGGAGGTCTGCGCACCCTCCACGGAGAAGAGCTGTGGCGCTTTAGTCGGGTAGGCCGTGTTCACTCTGCAGGTATTGGCGAGAAATTCAGGAGTTTTTCCAGATCTGATTTTTTTTTGGAGGGACGGTTCACGCTGTAAATCAGGTTTCGTGTGAGAACCCAACAGTGGTGTCCCTGGTGTGAAGAAGGGCTGTTGTAGCACTATTTTTCAGTGTACACGAGTCAAAAATGTGTTATAATTTTCTTTTACTACAAACAGGCAAAAGCTGATAGTTCCCACAATATCAAATCCGTTTAAAACCTCACTGTATTCTAGATTGTAAGGATTTACATTGGACAACAGAAAAAAGGAGATGGTGGGAGTGAATCGTTTGTTTAATTCGCATTTCTTTCTTCATGGAGACCAAACCAAACCAAGTTACAGGGCAGATCTGTGGAGAGGCGACAGAATACCTGTTTTTCTACGTATTTTTGAGCTATAAAACCACCTGCAACTGCATAAATGTAATGCAGAAATGTTTAATGTCACATGGCACAACATTTCAATTTCATTTCTACTTATCCATAGAAAGAAGCAAGTGACGGACCCTCAGCCAAAAAGTTACACAGGGCACCTTTAAACCTTTAAAAAGATTATTAGAAATGATTTAGTTTTGAATTGTTAATTACCATAGCAACAGTGCTGAGTTTTCATTACTCTGAGGCCCCGTTTACACGTATACGGGTATTTTTAAAAACTGAGACATTTCCCTTCGTTTGTATCCATCTTTTACACGCAAACTGCAAATTTGCCTCTGAAAACGAATCTTTCTAAAAAAACTTCGGCTAGAGTGGAGATTCTGGAAAGCTATGGTTTGACATTGGCTTGTAAAGTGAGAGTTTTAAGAGCTGACGCGCCAATGATGATGATCGTGGAAGCATTCAGAGCAGCAGTCGCATTTCTTCTGGTGCAAACACTTTTCATGTGTTTGCATTTGCACACACGGCTGATGTTTCTTATCCATGACCAGAGACGAATGAGGCTCAGAGCTCAGTCACTTCTTTAACAGATCTGTGGAGAGGCGAGCCCGCTCAGTAATGCACGTTTTTCAAGGTATTTTTGAGTAATATTTACAACTGTAATGAAATAAATGCTACAGGTTTGAATCTAATCCAGGTTCCGCCCAGATGCTTGGTGTAGTTTTGACAGCGCTCGATTGTCTATTTATGCGAGCTGATGTAAACGAAAACTTTTTTGAATTGTGCACGATGTTATTTTGGAAAACGGAGGGAGGGAAATATTCGTTTCTCAACATACCCAGTGTGGGAAATATTATGTGTTGGTCATGCTAATTCACCCAATATTATGGACTTTGGAATGACAACAGGGTGGAAAAAAACGTATGACTATCTATAGGTCTATATAACATGTTTTTTCTGTACTTGCAGTGCCATAAAAAACATGTTTTTCTGGACTTTGAGTGCCACGAAGCAGAAAAACTGACATATGTGGACCCCGTGGCATGTTCCCACCCATGATAAGATGTACTGGGTCAGCAGTATTGTTCATTTTCTTGCTGTATATGCTAAATCAACAAGTTAATGTTTTGTCAAGATGTAGTATAAAGCTACCCCTGATTTTGAGTTGGTCAGAGACGTCGTTCCGGGGTGACAGTTGTACTTGGTAATCAACTTGAATCCCTCTCAATGGAAAATGACGAAATAAAGTGGCCTGTTCTCTCGGATTCTCCATCTCTCGTGCTTCTTTTTAGGACACGCATTGAACCTTCCGAAAAAACCCACACCAGCTATGTGTAAACGCAGCCTGAAAACCATGGTAAGGATTTGTATGAGACAACAGCAGAAAGGAGATGGTAGAAAGTGGGTTAGCTGAAGATTTGGGAGTGACTCATTTGTTTCATTTTAAATTTTCTATTGTGCAATCTCTGGGAGGCCCTAATTGAAAACTTTCTTACGGTGAGCAGTAAAATCCTAGCCTGATTCATCAGTCGGTTTCACTTTGTAGAAACGTCTGACCTCGTAGCATTAGGATTCGTTCGCTCGACGGTAGGGGGGTACTTTTTTAATTTAACCAATCGCTGCTATTTGGTTGTGACGTATGTAATGCTCCGCTTTTCTGTCGGTGGGTATATCAAATATTTGTTTTTTTTTAGATGTCATTGCTTCGTCTAGAATGTTTCACAGTATGGCATTAAACCTTTTTATCTTTATAGAGACTAAACCAGACCAAGTTACAGCTCAGATCTGCGGAGAGAGAGAGGTGACCCCGCTCACATAGTGCACCTTTAAACACTAAAATTAACACTGTTGTCATAGCGATTAACAACTTAAAACAAAATCACTCACTTTTGAAGCTTCAAAATACCGAATAATGATGAAATAATAATGAATAATAATGAATAATGAATACTGCGACTCTTCTGCTACGTTAAAGCACTGGATAAAGATGCACTGTGTTACTTCTAAGGTGAACGGTCCGGCATGTCGTTTATTGGCCAACGGGGATAACTGGTATATTAAGCTTTTCCCAAATCCCGTAGGAAGAAGGGCAATAACATCTTTCCCCTTGATAAAATCCACCAAACATTCTCTTTATTCCAGCTTTAAATCTTCGATCTCAGGAATCGTTGCCAACACAGAATATATGGCTTTTCGCTGATTGGCTGGTGCCCGAACTCTCACTTCCGGGGTTTTTGCGAACCGTCTAGTGTATTCTGATTCCTGACCTAGTCGCTGGAGAGAAATTAAACTGAGTGGAGACACTAGGTGGCACCAGCCTGGATAGTAAAATCCTAAACCATGATACAAAAACAATACACCTCAGCTTCACAAACCTGATTCGATGCGCGTGCCATGAACAAAATACAAGCTGATTGTGTTGTAATAGTGAAAAGGGAAGAGATTTAGCATTAAGAGCAAAGGCAAAGGTGGTGTTAAAAGGGTAAATATGTTATGTGTTAGTAATTAAAACCTTATAGAAGTAAAATACTCCTTCTTTAGCATGTGTATACACTATTTCCTGGTACCTCTCTGTATAAATTGTCTTGTGAGCTGCAGTTTGGATCAGCTACACAGAGATACTAAATTGCATTGAGAGCTTTCGCCACGCCCACTTTAAGTCCTCTAATTGATCCGGAGAACATGTCTTTAGTGGAGCATAAGACTTTCTTTAGCCGCCGCCCCACTGCTGAGTCTGTTTACGAGCCACACGCGAGATGTTTAAGGCCAATCCGATTTAACTGTGGGGAAAGACTTACCAGCGACTTAATATTTAATTAGGAAATGTCAAAACACATGCACGGCTAAATAACACTCTCTCAGAGCACAGGCACGAGAAGTCAATTTATGCAAACAAGCAGAGGGGAAACAGATGGAGAAACAGGTATACGAACAGGGAGATGTGAGGCTTTTAAATGTTGTTTATCCTCGGTATTATTCAATTGTGCAACTTTTCTGATGGAGGGTCTGTCAAACGCTTTTCTCCATGGAGATGTTGTTGCTTTGTCTGGAATTTTTCATAGTAAAGTATTGAACCTTTCAAACCAGACCCAACCAGACAAAGTTACAGGTGAGATATGTGGAGAGGCAGTCAGAATGCAGGTTTTTCTAGGTATTTTTTAGCTGTAAAACCACCTGTAACTGAATAAAAAATACATCATATACATCAATATATCAAACTTTTGGTTTCATAGTCCATGCTATGTTTTTCTGTACAGCCTCTTTATTCACATTCAAGCCAGAGTGGCCCCAAACAACAAATTATATACATTACATGCCTAGTGTAGTCCTAGTTTAGTCCTGGCCTAGTCCGGTCTTACTCCTGGTGTAGTCCTGGTTTAGTCCTGTTGTGGTGCTGGTTTAGTCCTTATTTGTCATGGTGTAGTCCTGGTTTAGACCCAGTTTAATCCCATTCCTAATGTTGCATGTACACAAGTACAGGAGTATAAATCATACCAGCCAAAAAATGTGTAATAAAGAAGAAAAAAAAAACATATAAGTCGCACTTTTTGGGGGAAATTTATTTTATAAAATCAGAGACCATTTCATCTTGAAAGGCAACTTATAGTAATAACAATAGAAGAGAGAACAACAGACTGTTAACGTCACATATGAACAGTTCTTCAGATAAACTATAACATAAACAACATAACAGAACAAGTTTAACAAACTCTCCATCTCACTCCAAATCACTAAATCCATTGAATTCTGTGTCACTTCTGAGCAACTCCACGACCTCTGGAGGTAAACAGAGCGACACTTCCTCTTCTGCGTCGCTGTCGTCAGACTCAGCACCAGTTCCAGTTAGAATTATTCAGGCCTTTTTGAATCCCGACAGGATGGTTTTGTTGTCACTGAAGTTCAGGCTTTGTCCATCCATCCAATGACTTCTAGAAAAGTTGCATGGTGCATCCTCCTAGTTACCGTGAAGCTGTGTTCTCCATCTCCACCCTTCGCCAGTCCCTCACATCTTTCTCGCTCACTCCAAACTTTCTTTCTGCTGCTCGATTACTGTATTCAGCTGCATATTTCACTACTTGCAGCAGGACAGAGGCTCTTTCTGCAGGAGACATGTGCAGTAGAGTGAAGCGACAGTGGTACAGGAGTAATAGGAGCAGCAGATACTGACACACAAGACTAGAGCCTCTCACACAGTTGTCAGTGTGAACATTTTAATATACAAGTCGAAGGAAACACCCAAACCATGAAAAAAAGTGTGACTTATAGTCTGAAAATATGGTAAATTACATGCATAGTGTAGTTTTGGTTTAGCCCTGGTTTAGTCCTGGTATAGTCCTTATTTTGTCATGCTGTAGTCCTGGTTTAGACCCAGTTTAATCCCATTCCTAATGTAGTTTGTACATTCCCCAATTTTCCCAATCACCCTACATAAACCACATCAACATATGCATTACAAGAGAACATCTTTTCCAATCAATATTCCACTCTTTTGGCTTCATATTCCGTGATACGTTTTTCT